GTACGTACGTGGGAACTTCAGCTGGGAGCGAAGAAGCCTCCGGGTGCTATTTCATAAAAACTTATCTCCTGTCCATGTGTGAGGCAGACGTGTGCGTCATTATCCTGGCTTATCGGAGTGCCGTACGTGGGAACTTCAGCTGGGAGCGAAGAAGCCTCCGGGTGCTATTTCATAAAAACTTATCTCCTGTCCATGTGTGAGGCATGTGGACGTGTGCGTGCATGCAAACGAACCAAAAAAGGCCTTTTGTAATTGGTTCAACGGCAAAGAAGCAAAAAGAAATCACGAACGGGAATACGGGTTTTTGATTATTCATCAAAATCTGCTAAGTCCTCTCGGTCAGCAAAGCTACCGTTTTGCTGAAAACCCTACCATTCTTTGGAGGTAATATGCACCTTTACGGTATTTATGTGGTGCGCCTTCAAATATGAGTAATAAAACAGCCAAAAAGTTTTTTTTAAGTTTCTCCAGGCATTATGAACTTGTCTTTATAGAACATTTTTTCCATACTTGTAGGGCACCAATTTAGATGGAAGACCTCCAAATGCCATCGATCTGGGCCAGATTCAACAATATCCACCAAATGCGTCAGTGGGATACCATATTTACTATTCTGGTGCAAGTGTTGCGGGAAATCTCACCACCGACTTGGGGGTTCTGGTAAAAACGACAGTTATTGGTAAGAAAAGGAGTATTCGTTGTTATTCCTAGCTGATCACGTCCCCAAGGGTTTCGTATAATTCTCTCCATCCAGCAAAACGTAAAACTCATTATTACGTGACGCAAAACCCACTGCATGTTTTTGTCCTTTTCGAGACCTGCCACTATTAAAGCCGGTGAAATACTTCCTGAAAAAGCAGAAATATTGTTTAGGAATACCATTTTCGCGTCGTTAAAAACACCCAGTCAAACACACAAGTTATTTCAGCTGTATTTTGAGGTTATCGATTAGTAATCACAAACTTGTACGTGCTGGAGCAGTCATATTGAGATGAACCAGTAAACATGGACTGGAGAACAAAAGTGCCACGTTCCGTCGGCCCGCTGTTCCCTCACACTGCTCATCGTTTGCTGCTGGTCTGAAGGCCAGATGTTCACATTCTCAGTTATAGGGTGGCAAATTCATATTTCCGTTGCTACTTGTAAGTTGTACGCAATCCAAGGTCTTTGATAAAATCAGAAGATCTATTTTTCGCTATTTGATATAGACTGAACTGACATGTGCGTTCATCTTACTGTTAAAAAATTTGAAATATTCTTACCGCTTACGAGTTAGCTTTGTAAACTAGACAACAACATGTAAATCGACCAAGGTCTTAACTTGCTTGGAATTTTTTTACAGCTTGCCCGCTGATTACATATGACTGGAGTGTGCTTTGCGCTGGGTACAGACAACAACTGTGAAAATGTAAATCGATCAAGGGCTTAACTTGCTTGGAATTTTTGTACAGCTTGCCCACTGATTACATATGACTGAAGTGTGCTTTGGGCTGGGTAATTAAGTCATTTTAAGAAACGAGTTACTCACGGGCCTCTGAGGAACTTGTCCCCCTTAGTGATACCTAACCGAAGAAGCTTTATTTTCGTACAGTGGTAGTGTCCAATGAGTAGGGGTGTAACTTATGAGCACTGACTATGGGGTCTACTATATTTACTTGAGAGCAGTTTTTGTTAGTTTCTTACCGTTAAAAGGTAGATGTCTACCGGAATTATATTCAGGACACTAAAACACATTATGATGGAAATAGGAGCATTTCCTTTACCAAATGAGCAGACCTTCCCGATGAGGCTCAGTCAACATAAGTCAAAATGATTCTGAAACCAGAATAACTACTGATCTTCAGATAATAGTTACTTTGCCTCTGGAAATAGTTGCGGTCTCCCTTTGGAAGAAATATTGACCACTTGTGACTAGTGAAGAGCAACTTTGTAGACCTTTTCAAGAACGCCCTTCCTTTGGAGAAGTAATATTTTCAGAATCTTTTGTAGTAGCACAAGCTCTTTACACTGGGTGGGGTGAGAACATTTCTTGTAATATACTTAGAATCCAAACACTTCTCAGTCCAGCCTGAGCTTTGGGATCGTAGCTATGTCACTTTACAAATTATCATGACCACTGATATGAGAGAACAATGAATCTAGTGCTGAACAATTGATTTTCTGTTGGCTAAAGAATATGTAAAGAATCGTTCCTAGTTTCATAATTTCCTTTAAGCAGGTCATTTCGTCATTTGCCGCAATGAGCCTTGGTGGGGCTATTTTCTCCGAAGGCTTTCCTGCAGGTGATGTGTTTGGTAACTGGGCAATGATTATGGCTTACTTGAAAAGTTGTGTGTGGCTAGTGACATTTCGAATGGGGCGTCCAGTAGCTGAAAGTGGTTGTCCTGCCACAAATAATGTTCAGTTTTGGAGGATATTACCGCACCCACATAGGCTCCCAGTGTTCAATAACTTCTGGTTTGGAAATCCGGTCTTATGATCAACAAGTTTCAATCAGGTTGCCTGGCAAACAATGCACATACACAGTACGTACATATTTTACCCTGATGTACATCATATATGTCACATAGCCCTATTAGGGCGGAAATCTCAAAATCCTGAATTCGCCAAATTTAGGGAATAAGAACACTCTATTGATCTATCTAGATCCCTTGAATAGATGCACAGGTATGAGGACAGCATATAACTAAGAATGAACAAAGCAGCGTTGGTTAGCTCTTCAAAGAATGAGTATTATGCCTGCATTTTTGTCTTTAAACGGTCTCCTTTCCAGCTTCAGAAATAAACTGTACCCAGATGTCACATCCTCATGCTGTACTAAGTAAGTGCCAGTTTCCACTGCATTAGACTGAAGAAACGAATCCTTGAGCGCTTTGATGTAGATTTAATAATTGCGAATTGTGAATTGAAAGTAATCGTGAGTTCCGCAGAAATTCCTATCCTTAAATCATGATTGAGCAACCCATTCTCATTCTGATACGTTTGCTCTGGTAAGCAAACTACACTACGCCTAACTGCTGGTGACTAACCGTATTTCTTCATTAAACGAGATGGAGAAATTATAAGACAACTCTGGTTATAGGCACATTTTTCCAAAGACATTTATCCAGGGAGAAATTGCAGTTTCACAACTACCCAAATCTTACTATGGATGTCCAAACCTAAGTTCGTCAGTACTAAAAATGATCATAACTAGCACGGTGGTCATCGCAGATTACCCCATCGGGGTCAATTTCAATGCTAGTTATGCATGTATGTAACAGCCGTGTGGTTCAAACTTGCTGAAAAATGCAAAAAAGCCTGAACGCGACCAATTAGGGACCTGAATCAATGTTATCACATAGACCACTATCCTGCTGCGACACGCCATTTGAATTTGGCTTGATTTTTTTAACATTACTCCATTTCTTGGTCAATCTTACATGTTGTTACATCCCAGTTAGGGGGATCGTGAGTGAGAGTAAAACGTTGTCAACAGACCGTTTGTGAAAATTGTCCGTAACGTCAAAAGTATCTACCTGCCAAGACAACAGCATCAGTGCTTCATATTAGTATTTGCCATTATTGTAGCACCGATCCCAACCCTACATTCCACCTCCATCCACAAATTATTTTGGATGGAACAACATTGTCGCTTCTAAAAGCTGCTGCTGAATTAATTTCCAGCACAAGATTTGAAGCCGTTTTCCGATGGCATTTGAAACGCATTTTAATATCACGTCACAAATGGTGAGTGTGTTAGGTTCGAGTGTTAAGAAATGGCATCGTAAAAAGTGCCATCAACACGTACCCCCCAAATGTCTGGCTGAGTATTTTACTTGCCGTCATCTGGAAAACCATAAGTCTATGCATTTGTTCACTATGGTGGAACAATAGTGCAACGGAGCTACTCAAAGCAGAATTCTCTTTATCACATACAACAGTTTTTGTTCCCGTAAAATTATACTGTCATAAATTTTGTGCTGTTGAATATTCACTGGCCTATGCGTGGCAGCATCAGTGAACTGAAGAAGCCAGCGTGTACAAAGAGAAATATCGGACAGGTTTGCTTAAGTAGTTTTCAGTGTATATGAGGTGACCTTGCATTCAGCTACAGACGATAGTTTTTATTAACAATTTCAAAAGCCTTGTAAAATATGAACTTGGATAAATTGTTGAATGAACAATGGCTTTATACCAGTCGGTGTTAGAAGTATTTCACACCATAATTCGTGACACTAGTTCCATAACAGTTATCATGCAACCCGAAAGAGGTATCTGCCTCAAATACTGCAAAATTTGCGAGTGTAACGTAAGGCGCTGGAAAATATCAATTCTTTAGAAGGGAATACCATCCACTTTTTGTAGAACAGGTTCGAGGTTCGTAGTCGTTTCGGATAGGCAGGACATTTGACTCCTAGAGTACTTTTTCAGTCGAAAATATATCCTGAGTGTAAGTTGTTCCAAGAAAAGTGTAGCTATGATCGTTGAGCAGTAATAATCCGTTAGACACTGTGTGAAAACATTTTGAAAAATCCGGACACAGAGTAATTTTAACAACAAATCTTCGTCAGGCAAACAAACTGCCTAATCCAACAGTGACGACAGTTAAACTCTGATTACTTTTCGAACACTTGTCCAGCCACCCTCTAAATTCTTCGCTGACAACTACCAAAATGACTCTGTTTGCAATGTGGAAATATTAGCCGGACACATCTGCTAGGTCAGCCTTTTAAACAGAACAGCTAATAAAGGATTTGTGAAGCAGCTAATGTGGTGGCACCTCGATTGATTTTGTCTTATAATGGGTTTGACAGACAGTATCACCAATTAGGAGTTATTTTGTTGTTCAAGGAGTGGGAATACGGTTCATCCTGCCGGACCGAAACATGCCTTTTCGGTGGAATTGGAGACTGGAGGCCAATGCAACAGCTTACAGACATGTTCTCGAGTGCGCAACAAAATACGTGAGTGTCTAACCCTAATTTTGTTTCGTTTAAGCGCTTCTTGTTTACACTTTCATATGTGACCTACGTTACTGAAGATAAATTTGCCCTTTTTTGCCCGCAAGGTGCCATCAAGTTCAGCTCTTGACAAGTCCAGTCTAATTATATAGCCTTTCTATCCATCGAAAAAATTCACTGAATGGCAGGGCTGTGGCAAACAAAAAATCCTCATGAATTTCTAGCGCAAAATTCTTGATTCGGTTGTGCCCAAATTCTTCCGTTGTTTGAACCTGTCGGTCCAGCTGCAGGTATAGCCACGATAGATTCCAAACAGTAAAAAATCCTCATGAATTTCTAGCGCAAAATCCTTCACTCGGATGTGTCCGAATTCTTCCGTTGTTTGAACCTGTCGGTCCAGCTGCAGGTATAGCCACGATAGATTCCAAACAGTAGGATAGAAGGTTGCGCACTTGCACTCTTTTCAAGGGTGATCTAACACGCTGCGCTCAGAATGAACGAGTAGGTATATAATTGGATGGACGCGAAGCAAACTGCAACCGGCACCACGCGTTCATGTGAAAAGGTCACCACTCATCTTGCGTTGAATTTAATCATGAGGAACCTTGATCACTTCTCTACAGATGGATTTTGATTCATCATGTGGTTATAGCCTGCAAACCGAGCTTTTTGTTGGCAGAAGAAGTTTGAAGTGGATAATCAGTTCTTAATCTCACAAAAAGCCCGCGTTGCATGAGTACGCTCGATTCCACTTCTAAACGCAGAGATTTTCATGCAGGATTTCTTCCATGAATTAACTAGTCTACTTATTACGAAGCTTTCCTGCAAGTGTTCAGGCTTCCACTGTGAAGCTAAATTTTAGCAGAAGTGGGATTGACTGACTTCCCGGATAGTACATCTGTGATCATGGTTGCCATATACATCGAATGCGTTGGGGATCTCGGCAAGAGCGACCTTGAAATTATTCACGCAATATATGTGGTTATATTAGTTTGTATTAGTTATTAATAACCGCGTGGTCAGAGCTAAAAACTCTCCGTTGCAGAAGGAAGCTATTTGTGCCTACTGAGACTCACCAGACCAATTAGGGGATCAAATCCGTATCACTTTGGCTTGTAGATCGGAGTTGTTGAGCAAAGGATAATCCCTTTGCTGACCTGCCCATGATTTATGAGGATATGAACTAGGAATGAAACTTGGTTTACGAGTTGTTTGTTAATTCAAACAAGTCCAAGAGTTACGATTAGCTCGGCTGATTTGATTAAGTAATTTCCAATCATTGACCAGAAAAACGCCAGGTCGTAGGCTCACGAACTGGATGGGTATTGCGTAAGCAGCTTAGGCAGTGAAGTGTGTGTGGTAAGACTACTCCAGCATTCGTCTGCTCCTATAAACAAACCGACTCCAAAGAGTATCGGATTTTTCAGGGTTAACTGTCTCTAGAAATCTTCGTAGTATAAATGCTTGTTATTCAGTCGACTGAGTGGGTGAATTTGAGCGTTAGTGTTTATATACACCAAGTAATTTTTTGAGGCAGGCCTCTAATCATGGAATAGTGGGTGCGAATCAGTCAGATGAAAAAGTCTCGCAACTTCCGTTACTCAACATATCTGAAAGGCATTTGCTAGAGGTTCAAATATCGGATGATTGATAAGAAATGCAGAAATATTCTGCCATATCGTGAAATTTTAGAAGCCCTTAATTTGAACTTTCTACACCCCAAATTGGATTAGAAAATAGACAAATCATAAGTTAGAGTTTCGGGATACACCGCTGCGAAACAAACTTCGGCAAAGTTCAACAACCCGCAAATCCCCATCTGTGTTACATTGAGAAACGAAGGCTTTTATCGCCACCCAAGGCAAGTCTTATAACACGTCTTTGCAAAGCATTTTCAGCTTTGGTTTATATATACCTCTAATTCATAACAGACCCTCTCATGGCATCCGATTTTTCCCATTATCTTTGGAACAGAATGGAGGACACATTTGATATTCCTAATGCAGTTTTTGAACCATCATAAAGGGCATTATAGCCTATTCGAGCACCCCTCAGCAGAGAATGGTACAGTATTGTACGGTGTGACAGGATATATAAGGACAAAACAAAATACGGCATAGTTAAGCAATGCAAGATTATATGGTATGGAATGCTATGGTAAGCAATAGAACGACACAGTATTTTATGGTGTGGTTTATTGTAGTAAATGGCAGTAAAGAATAGTGCGGTGTGGTGTAGTATGTGACGGGGTACGGTAGGTTATCATACATTTGGATGTTGTGTGGTATAGTGTAGTACCATGTACTACTGCACATACTACTGTACAGGGTAGGGTCGTGCGCTAAACTACAGCATAGTATGGTAGAGTGGAGTAGGGTACAGCGTAGCGTAATTAGGAAAAGCAATCTATGGCATTTTATAACATAGTGTGACGCAACATGATAAAGTAGACCATTGCACAGCAATGTATAGCGTGGTATGGTATAGTATAGTAAGGAAACTGAACAGAGAGCTTGATTCTGAACTAAAAAGCCACCAGCTTTTTTTTGCATCACTTACTACTTTGCCAGAAATGCTGAAACACTCAGTATGTTAGACTGAACGATTTGCCATTTTTCTGCTATCCAATTCCTTGTGATTGAAAACCGAAATGCTAATCAGCTACACATTAAAGCATACTATGATGTTTATTTTGCTCAGATTGAACATATGCTGAATGTCATACACTCCTGGGATGGAATTCTTGAGGCGACCTGGATGTATAGACTTGAAACACTCAACGGAGCGAGTGTCATCGTTCATGGCCACATAGAACTAAACGTGTACAGACTGATTCAGAAACACTACCACCTTGACTGGAGTAGTATCGTCAAAACTTTTAACCGAAATTTCATGAACAAGTTTCCATTCCGACCCGTAGGTGAGTTTTTACTGTTCGAATACAATGTCAGTTTTTGAAAGTAGGTACGCGACTGTTAAGTGTCTTTTGTCTATTTTTCCCAAAAATAAATTCGGCCTCTCTACACAGGGGAAGGTTTTATTTCATTTTCGGTGGAAATGACCAAACCTGCACATGCTGCTAAACTTCAGAATGTGCTTACTAATTTTGAAGTATGAAGCATAGGCTTCAAAAGGTCCAGCTCCCAATTCAGATGAACTGTCGTCTGAGTATTCCTCGCTTGGATATTCAGGTACTATACTGTCACGTTAAGTGAATTGCATGGTACAAGAATGGGTGACTTTCAGTACGCTGCTAGAACCATTCGGAGGCTTATTGATACGGTTTTCAGATATTACTAGACAGAGCATGCGTTTGAACCTCCAAAGTGTTTCTTAAAACATGAACTTTGGTTGCTTCTCGATGAAAATGAAAGAAATGAAAGGTTTTCCACATATTACAACCAGTCACTCAAAAGGCTGTGAAGGGTTATGCTTTCGTGATTTCAGTATTTCTAGTAGCTGTAAACTACTCGATGCATTATTGAGGAAATGTGCTGATTTGCTAAGAATGTTCGGCGCACGGTTGATTTGAAGTCGGCTGTTTCGTCTTTATCAGAGCAACGTCATTTTTATTCCCAGCCTGGTATGTGCAATGCAAGAAATGCTCACTAATGCTTCTATCGTGAACTACATTTTGTCATGGTTCTTGCATACTTTGGTACCTATATATTGGTTAGCACTTATTTTACTGGTACGACACGCGCCGATGACAGTATGCTGGATGGTCGCTAGTTAGATCGTTTGATTAAACGAACTACATAGTAGCTTAGGCGCGTATGATAACTCAATTGTTTGGCTAATAAATCGGATCCATTATAAAGCTCCAGGTGACTTTTTAATTGAAAAATGTACAGCCTGCTTATTTTAAAGGAAAGTTGCGTGTGGCTTAACTCAGTAATAGAAAACTATTCATGAAGAAATTTGATCTAATGAAAAACAACAACATTGTTATTGTATCCAAAAAAGGGGTGCTAGGCTAATGCAACTGCAAGAAATAATGAAACGGTAACTATCTTCGTTTTGAAAAGTAAGTAAAGCCATGTTATTTTAACTACTGGCAACATCGACAAACAGCGTCCTATACGTGAATTGATGTGTGATTGAATTAACAAAATAATGTTTGCAAATGCTTCCTGTTCAACGCAGACAGCGGTCTTTTTTTCGGTCATCAGGAAGTAACAAGATTGCAATCACAGTTTGAGAAGTTGTATGCCTAAACAACAGAGTTCCATAGGAATAGCCGAGTGAAAGATTAGCAATTGTTGTTGTCCTTGATTTGAAAAGAAAGCCTATTCCATAGGGGTCATTGTTCTGTCTTTCAGGGGGTATCTCAGAAATCAAACAACCCATACACTGTAGATACATCCCTCTGGCGGCTTTTTTGCTGAAGAAACCGATCGTACCTGTAGCTACGTAGTCGCACAGGGTATCGAGGTTGATTCGTATATACCCTTGTACCATTGAAAAGAGAATAGGCCGGGGTTTATGACAATCAGACAAATACATCACTTGACATGACCAGAAACAACAATCATTCGGTTGGCGAAATTCGATTACTGGTATTATCATTTATTTTTGAAGAGCATGGTCACAAACATAAAAATGGAGTGCAAGCGATGAATGCGAAAGAGTAACTGGAGAATATGGGAGAAAAGACAGAAACGCCTCACCCAAAATCATGCCGACAACAGTTCAAGTTTGAAGAGATGAATCCCAAATTATGTAAAACTTTTGATGTGGAACACGAGTCTACAAGTTTGAAGAGATGAATCCCAAATTATGTAAAACTTTTGATGTGGAAACACGAGTCTAAAGACCAACAACCGAAAAAAGGACAAACAGTGTTGAATACTCTTCAAGGCGCGGTAGGCGCTAGCACAGTCAAGACTCGCACATCAGGCACAAAGTGTCCGTCACACTGGGTCTCGTGTGAGATTAATTGGCAAGAACGTATATTCAAAGCCAAGTGCCACGCATAAGTACACAGAGAGCCCACAATGACAAGCAAACACAAGTCACTGACTGAGACCTCAAGAAGCCCCAGTTCAATAACAGCCTTAGCGGATGAGAAAAGCAGATTTCTCGATAGGAGAAATGTCATCGTTTGGTGAACCAAAAACTCGACACCACAACCGACTGTATGTAGGGCTGAGATCATGGCGAGGGGATATTCATCAGCACCATACTTCTGCTTCTTCTCATTCCACACGGTCACTCCGCGCCCATTCGAGACTATGCTTACGTCCATTGCAGTTGTTCGGCGATCTCGAACAGCGATTAATTCAGGTTTGATGAAGGACGTCGAAGTAGGTGTCCTCAACTCCTCGAAGACGGTGTATCCCAGTCGAGGGAGACGTTTTGCGAGTTCTGTTGTCGAACTCTACAGACACTGTGTTTATGATAAGCCAATTCACTAGCATGCTCATTTTGCAGTCCGTTAGCCCATGCAATCGCAACGATAAGGCACATCCTCCTGCTACCGTTAGCTTATTGGTGGCTGACAAACATAGACTGTTTTAACGGAAAGGTATTCTTGTGCATCAATGCACTCTGATTGGTGCCGCAATAATGGAGTTATTGGATGAAACCAAGCACATAGCTGGGATAAATGTAACCTAGAAGACTGTTTCAAACACCAGGATAAGGTGGAGTCATTAAGTTTTCTTGCGTGAAAAAATCAAACAACAAACATCATCCTGTTCAGTTGTCTGCGCTGAAGTATTTGACTGACCAGTGAGTTGGTATAAGCGATTAATTCTTTGTGACCCAAAGGCTAAGGAGAGTTCGTCTTGAAAACATTTCTTCAGTTCGAAGAGAATTTATTCTTCATTAAAAATGTGAATTATCAGACCGATTTTAGAACAAGACAACCCTTTAGGAGACAACACTGCAACAAGCCATTCTAATTCTGAAGGGAATTTGTGTATGTTTGGACACATTATTGGCCCTCTTTGTGAAATGTAGGCCATGGATATGTTTAAGTAGCCAAGAAACTCCCAGGCCAATCTTGCCCTACACCACATTCCAATCATCGTCAGCGGAAAACAGACTAAAAAATGAGTTAAACATCGATCTCTTCTGAATGCATATGAGTTCACACTTCAGATTTGTCACCATTGAACAGTTTGCGATGCTTAGATGTACAGTATCAAGCCCGGGTGTGAATCCATAAGGTCATCACAGCAAGCCGCTACGTTCATCTTTTCCTCACTTGCAGTGGCTGGTGCCTTACATGCGCTTTTATGATCTACAGACCATTACCATGGCCTAGTGAATGATTCTCATATTTTCAGCCCTATTCATGAGGGAGTTCGGAATCAAGTGCAACATAAATGGCATCGAAGCATTACGTGAGTTCCTTATTTCTGTTGTATTTAGTTCACTCGTTACATTTTTCTGAATTCTGTGAAAAATTTACCAGGCAATCGACTCATCCATGCCTGCACCAACACAGAATATCAGAACATCATCATGTACGTTTATTATAGCCCAGAATCTACGCGCATGTCCGCAGTGGCTGATGGTATTTCCTAAAACCAAGTTATTCCCCATACCAGTAAACTTCACTTGCAGATGCTCACGGGTCAAGACCGATAGAGCGAAACACTGCACAGTTCAAGGGTTTATCAATAGTTTCTATAACAGAGTAAGCAAAGCACATGGCATTTAAAGGGAAACAATATTTCCGAAAATAGTCTTCTTGCAAGCTTGAAAGTGACCTGTTCTATCTTGGCTGAAATTTTTTACCTTCCGTCAGGAAAATAATCAACCTAGCCTTCCGCACTTCGCTTTGATTTGAGATCTCAAGAGTGACCTGGTAGGATGGGCAGACTTCTAGCGTTTAATAGGTTGTGCTCAAACTTTCTATCAACAGTGTCAACTATACCATTTTCAGGAAATACATAGGCATTAGCTCGAAACGTTTCATTCCAGTTGGTTTCGGCAGGAGACAAAGCAGCATAATGAATTCATTTAGATTTTAGCGCAGTTTATTTACTTGGATTAAGGTTCGACCATACAGTAGGTTAGGTAAAACGTTCTTTACGACAGGCTATTTTTTGATGAGTAGCAGCGACGTCGAAATTGCTAACTGGGGATTAGGTGTTGTGATAGCGCCTAAGATGCATATAGGTTTCCCCTGACCCCAGCCAGCAAAAAATATATCTTTTCTCACTAAAAACACCAATAGCGATGTCTTTTATTGAATATTTTCTGTCTACTCGGAACCCCAAATCCTAATAAGTGTACTAGACAAGTCGTCTTTGGACAAACCTGGGTTGATTTGAGGAGGACTCGAGTTTCAACGAGGACTGACATTCCCAAAATAGCCATCCTATCACCTCCCAGAGAGCTGATCAACGGGATGTCTCACTAACGGGAAATTTTGCAACACTGCGACATAGCCAGGTAATTTTGGGTTATAATCTACACCAGCTTTGTATGGAAACATTTCATACCGCGGACTCTCCACCACATCACTTCCTTGGTAGAGTGACCAGAGATTGTCTGGTTGCTGCAGATGTAGCCCTATGAAGGCCCAGTTTAAAAGTATTCACACATCGCTGAGACGGCTAATGGTAGCTTTCTTAGGTGTGAGCGGTTCTCTTCTGATGGAGTTAGTTGAAGCTGTATGTTTCGTCGTGGGTTTAAGCATCGATAAATCTCAAATCTTTGGCTTATGTGACCATTGGTAATGTGTCTTCACCACGTATGATATAGAAAATCACGTGGTCCTTGTCAAACATTTCGGAGCATTTTGACCTGTTTAATGTGAATATTCATACTTTCGATGGTTACTGTATTTTCTTCAGGTAATTTGATGCCACGTATTTGGCAGGCATGAACTAAGAGCTATTTGGTGCAGGTGGACATAAATAACATAAATAATGGATATAAAAGATATAGACACAGTTAGAATGCGAAGTTGTTCTTTCTGTTGACGAGAGTGGAAAGTTTGC